GGTTTTAGTGGTCTACCCTCTCAGTTTGGGTTTTGATCCTTTGTTGAGTTTGATATTCTAGGTCATATTTTGTTTGTTGATTCAGAGAAGCTACTTCACGTACACCACATAGAAGATAACAGACCATGGATAATATCAAATTTGGTGATTTTTCTTTTTGGTTGTTGTTATTGTAGTTTTTCCATATTATTTACTAGATCTACACAATTATCTCTCTCAAGATTGTAGTTCTGTGATAGAATTTTAGTGGTCCACCTTCTCAGATTGGGGTTTTGATCCTTTGTTGAGTTTGATATTCTGGGTCGTATTTTGTTTGTTGATTTCAGAGAAGCTACTTCACGTACACCACATAGAAGATAACAGACCATGGATAATATTAAATTTGGTGATTTTGTTTTTTGGTTGTTGTTGTAGTTTTTCCATATTATTTACTAGTTCTACAAAATTGTGCCATTAGGGAAAGTACAGAATAATTAATAGTAATTATTTGGATCTCCCTGATTCAATAACGTTGTAAATTTTTGTTAAATAAAGTGATCTTCATCTCACTATTGTGATTTCGTATCCCAAATTCCCAATATGCAACTGTTATATTACTATCATCTTATGACCCAGACGGGAAGGGGTAATTTTTTTTCTTTAATCAGAAAAGAAATGAGTGATATAGGAGAAGTTATTTGGTTGTCTCGGGGCACGGCCACGTAGGGTCACGTAGGGTTGTTGTGATTGGTAGAGATGGTGGGATTCCCGCGTTTGTGTTGGGTGATTGGAAACATAAGCGTCATGGTGAATTGTGATTGGCCACCAACAAATAATTTTTCGGTATATATGGCTCACATGTAGCTGACGTATTTGATAGTCAATGGATGTCCGTAAACCCAAACAATTTTTTTTGGTAATACTGGTTTTCATGGTTTGTGATTTGTTTATGGGCTTGTGGTGGTATTGGTATTTTTTCAAGTATGTGTGATTGTATGATTTTGTTGAGAGAACCAAATGAGAGAGACATTACAGTTGAATTTAATGATGTTGACATATTATGGCATTAGCAAAGCATAAGACTTGGCAATGCATGGGAACACATTAACGCATAAAGGAGCCATGATTTCTGGCAGCACTCTTGTGATTCCTAGCTTTAATTCGAACAGGAAAAAGTTACCTAATTCTTTTCTTCATTCTGTTTGGATGCTAGGAAATTACTGGAAAAAGGAAAAGAAATTGGCTGAATGTATGTTTGGTTATCAATCCAATTCTAATCGATTCCTTTTTATTCTATTACTTTCAACTGTTTGAATGATCAAACAGAGCGTAAATTTATATATTATTTGGATGATTTGGACTTTTTTCACCAGAAATTTGAGAGTATATGTTTAGAGACCCATCTAGTTGGTGGCATGCCTCACCATCATTCACAACTTGGTTTAACTTTCCGTTGACGTTTTGAACTACTTTATATTTATGCTGCGGAAAAAAAATTTCATAAAGAATATATGCATATATAAATTGGGGATGGTGGGCTCTTGATTTATGACTCTTGCTAGGTCTAGAGGCAGTGGCTTTTTTTATTTCAGAACCCTAACAGGTTAGGCCAAGATGGGTTTCCTTTTTGTCTAATAGTAGCACTGACTTTGATGATTGTAAGTTATTTTGCGGAAAAATGCAATATTTAGAAATCCTGTCAGTCTAGTGGCAAATTGTTTAAAAAGGTTTCAGAACATTGATAAATTTAGTGTGTTAATTTTCACTACAAAAAAATTGACTTTTTGCGACGGTGATTTCTGGCAGCACTCTTGTGATTCCTAGCTTTAATTCGAACAGGAAAAAGTTACCTAATTCTTTTCTTCATTCTGTTTGGATGCTAGGAAATTACTGGAAAAAGGAAAAGAAATTGGCTGAATGTATGTTTGGTTATCAATCCAATTCTAATCGATTCCTTTTTATTCTATTACTTTCAACTGTTTGAATGATCAAACAGAGCGTAAATTTATATATTATTTGGATGATTTGGACTTTTTTCACCAGAAATTTGAGAGTATATGTTTAGAGACCCATCTAGTTGGTGGCATGCCTCACCATCATTCACAACTTGGTTTAACTTTCCGTTGACGTTTTGAACTACTTTATATTTATGCTACGGAAAAAAAATTCCATAAAGAATATATGCATATATAAATTGGGGATGGTGGGCTCTTGATTTATGCCTCTTGCTAGGTCTAGAGGCAGTGGCTTTTTTTATTCCAGAACCCTAACAGGTTGGGCCAAGATGGGTTTCCTTTTTGTCTAATAGTAGTACTGACTTTGATGATTGTAAGTTATTTTGAGGAAAAATGCAATATTTAGAAATCCTGTCAGTCCAGTGGCAAATTGTTTAAAATTTTTTCAGAACATTGATAAATTTAGTGTGGTAATTTTGCAAAACAAGAAGTTTATAAGCCGTATTAAATCCTTATGACAGTGGGAATTTTTTGACAATGGGATTTATTTAGGTGCTTCTGCTGTTTTAGGCATGGACAATAACCACACAACTTTGTTGGTTAGTGATTCTAATATTCATTAGTGTAGGGGGGGAGTTCATCTGAAACTGAATCAAGGGAATGCTAGTTAACATTGATGCCAAATATTTCAGAGTTCAACATAATAATTGTGAGCATTGATAATGTAGGTTGTAGATTTGTAAGGGTGATTAAAATTTGGTTGGGGACGGCTTATGGGGTAGTATTACTGGTTTTTTTCTGGTCCAGCTAAATGTGGATTATAATTTAACACTAGGAAATGTAGAACTATAGATAATTGGAAGAAAAGAAGAAAATAAATAAGATAAAGAACGAAATGATGTTGAGGAAGTAGGAAACTGAGGTAACCATAAATTTGGTTCCTTAAGCATTCCCAATGGCAGAGTTAAGGTTATCACACTTACTAAAGAAAGCCTCTCAAGTTGTATATTCTTAATTAAACATACTTGAAATTTCAAAAAAGGTGATCAAAATCTTTCATGTTCACTTGTAAAACCTATTGACTTAGTTAATGCAGACAACCTTATTAGTTCATTGTTGTAGACTGTAGCGTGTGGAAAATTCCCCTACTAGAGTAATTGGAACACTGATGTACCGAGCTGGAGAAACCTCACAAGGAAACGTGGGAGCTGTGAGTGCAAGCATGTGCAGGTTGCCACCTCAGTTGGTCCCCCACACCTAGAATCATGGAAGTTGTTGAACCAAAGGAATGTGATTTGTTATCAGCATGCCTACAATGAGTATATGCAATCAATGACAACTACCAGGTGGTCCCCCACCTGGAGCAATGCTGAAAGGACACCTGGAAGCATCCACATTCCATGAAACCACCTTGAGAAGCAAGTAAGGAATACTATATATATTTCATAAACTTCACATTGAAGGTAACTGAATTGAACTGAACTAAGGAGAACTGTTCTAATCACACTTAACATACATTCCTTCTCCGATCACTGATTCCCACGCCGGAGGGGTTATCTGGCCAACCCTGGCCGGGCAGCTTTAACGGTGCTTCTTGTGGCAGGAGTCCCGATCCCTGGATAGTCCAACTGAGTGCGGAGCCCCGATCCACTTTCATCTAGTACGGAATCCAGTACGCACAATTGGTGCGGTGAACGTGGATCACTTTATCTCTGAGCTCTGCATTCAGTTCCGGCAATGGGGATTGAGGACATTCCGCCTTCAGCACATACTCCACAGACGGAGAAGACGAAGGACAAAGGTTTGGCACTCCCAACAGTTCTGGAGGAGCAAACTAGAAACAATAATCGAACCCCCGAATCTGTCGAGCATCGATTGCTCTTCGCCAGAGGTTCTTCTCATCATTTCCTTCTGGAAAAGGATTATAGAGATCGAATTATAGATTCCATGGGAATGGAGATACAAGAATTGAAAGCTCAACTTAAGAAGGTGTTGGGTGATCTGACGAAAAATAGGACGGAAGCAGAGCCCTCTCGTTTGCAACAAAGGAGCTCGTCTAGAGAACTACCAGTGAAAAAATTCCCCAGGAATGACTCTGGGCAACGAAGCCTACCTATCCCAGCACAGAGTGAAGCGGCGAGTAGCCACACCCGTGGGTCACACCGGAAGAGGGCCAAGAGGCAGAAGACAGTTAGTCAACAAACTGAATACCCTCCTCAGGACCTTCGCACTTGGCTGATTGGCAATAGGCAGAACGAGCAACATCGAGATCATTTGGACCGTACTGTTCACCAGAGAGAACATCGAGCGCTGGACAGGCTCGTCTCTTCGCCATTCTCTCCGGAGATTGAGACCATGAGACCTCCAAAGAAGTTCACTCCACCAAAGTTCACTTCGTACGATGGGAAATCGGACCCTTTGACACATATCAGCCATTTTAGACAGATGATGTCCCTATGGAGCCGAGATGAGGCACTGATGTGTAAGGTCTTACCATGCAGCTTGGGAGAAACCGGACTCTGATGGTTTGATCGACTCCCCGCTGGATCGATTCATGGCTGGAAGCAGCTCTCCGAAGAGTTCCTAGCCAGGTTCGTCTCCAATACTAAGATCCCAAAAGAGCCGAATACACTGTTCGGCCTCAGGAAGGAGTAAGAGGAAACGCTGCGCAATTATGCTAGGAGATACTGGGAAGAGTATAATGATCTGGAAGAAAATGTGTGCAGCGAGCAGATGGTCGTTATGTCCTTCAAACATGGTCTGCGCCAGGAAAGTAAGTTGAGACGATCACTTACCAAGCGCCCGGCCACAGCTTTGAAAGACTTGCGCACCAGGATTGAGCAGTATGCTCATCTCGAAGACGATCAGATCCCCATCGAGGTAGTGTCAGCAGAACAAACAGCCCGGTAGAAGAAGAGAACGGATCGAGGAGAACACCGAGAGATTGCAGTGAATGAGGTGGATAAATCCAAATCCCACGAAGCCATTGTGATTGTGTTCAAAGAGCCAATATATCGAATCCTGGAAAAGATCAAGAGAGATCCCTTCTTTGTTTGGCCGCCGAAAATGTTAAGAGATCCAGCTCGGCGCAATCAGAAGCTCAGATGCACCTACCACCAAGACAAGGGACACATGACTCAGAACTGCAGGGCACTGAAGCAACACTTGGAAGACCTGGTGGCAGCTGGACACCTAAGGGAATACATTGATCAGGATAAGGAAGTGGCCGAGCTGGAGAACCCACCTCCAGAAGCAAATATTGAGCATCCACCCCGGCTAATAATAAATGTGATCCATGGGACAACGGCTCAGGAATCTGAGGAGGCACTGAAGGAAGAGATCGCTAAGGCTGCGCAAATTCAGCGAATCATGTCAGTGGAGCCGGCATCGAAAAAGGTGCGTACAGTATCTAAATCCCCCTTGTGCACTGTTTCATTTACTAGCAAAGATTTAGAAGGCATACAGCATCCACATACTGATGCATTGATTATAACTGTTGGAATTGGGAAACGATTTGATGTAAAACGAGTCCTAGTAGATCAGGGCAGTGCGGCAGACATACTGTATTATGATTTGTTCAGAAAGCTCGGCCTCTCCGAGCAGCATCTCACCCCAGCGGCAGCCCCGTTGGTCGGTTTCAATTCACAGCCGGAATGGCCGCTCGGCAGAATAGTATTGCCAGTCGTAGCGGGGACAAAAACCCTCCAGATAGAGTTCTTGGTTATTAATACACTATCCCCTTATAACGCCATACTTAGCCGTCCGTGGATTCATCGAATGGAAGCAGTCCCTTCAACCTATCACCAGCTCATCCGTTTCCCAACAGAACACGGAGTAGAGCAGATCTCAAGGGATCAAGTTGCGTCCAAACATTGTTTCATGGCAGCATTAAAGGCAAAGTAGCTCTGCAATCGGGTACAGACGGTAGAAGTGGTTGGACAGCCAGTCTTGGAAGATGTGGGGGGAACTCCAGAGGAAAAGATGGTAGAGGATTTGGAGAAAGTCTTGGTAAGAGAAGATGACCCGAAAAAGTACTTCCTTATCGGTACCTCGCTAGGCGCTGATGAGAAACTTCAGCTGCTGGAACTGCTGAGGGAAAATATGGAGGTATTCGCGTGGTCAGCATATGATACTCCAGGGTTGGACCCAGAATTTGTTTGCCACAAGCTCAACATCAATCCTTCAGCTCGGCCCATTGTACAGAAAAGTCAGAGATCCTCAGTTGAGCACACCGAAGCAGTAATTGCCGAAGTTGAAAAACTCCTGGCCTCGGGTGCAATCAAAGAAGTTCAGTACCTGCAATGGCTGTCTAACACAGTTGTAGTCAAGAAGAAGAACAGAAAATGGAGAGTTTGTATCAATTTCACTTGCTTGAACAAAGCCTGCCCTAAAGATAGTTTTTCGCTGCCTCGCATTGATCAACTAGTAGACTCAACAGCAGGGCATGAGCGCATGAGCTTTCTGGACGCTTATAGCGGTTATCATCAAATACCACTGTTCGGTCCGGATCAAGAAAAGGCAGCGTTTATCACTCCGAGAGGGACTTACTGCTACAGAGTAATGCCGTTCGGCCTCAAGAACGCCGGGGCGACCTACCAGCGAATGATCACTCGGATGTTCAAAGACCAACTAGGGAAAACCATGGAAGCCTATATAGACGATATGGTAGTAAAAAACAAGTTCGCTACAAACCACCTCACAGACTTGAGAGAAGTTTTTAGCATCCTGAAAAACCACCACCTTCGCCTCAATGCCTCGAAATGTGCCTTCGGGGTAGGAACAGGGAAGTTCTTGGGATACATGGTCACTCACAGAGGAATTGAAGCGAATCCGGATCAAATCAAGGCAATACAGGATCTCGAAGTGCCAACAAAGTCTAAGGAACTGCAGAAACTAGTCGGAATGGCGGCCGCACTGAATCGGTTTATTAGCAAATCCTCAGATCGGATGAAGCCCTTCTTCCAGCTTTTGAGGAAAAAGGCAGTATTTGAATGGAGTAGCGAATGTACTAAAGCACTGTAGAGCCTCAAAAGATACCTCAGTACACCTCCTCTACTGTCCACTCCAGAACCGGGAGAGGAGCTGTACCTCTATTTAGCAGTTTCAGATCATGCCGTGAGCGCGGTATTAATTCGAGAAGTTGACAAGGAACAGAGACTAGTATATTATGTCAGCAAGACTTTACTAGATGCCGAGACATGGTATCTACCACTGGAAAAGTTAGCTTACGGGCTGCTTATCGCCTCAAGAAAGTTGCAACATTACTTCCAGGGGCATACCATTAACGTCCTCACTGAATTCCCCCTCAGATCTGTATTCAGCCGAGCCAATTTCTCTAGTCGAACAGCAAAATGGGCAGTAGAACTTGGTGAGTTTGACATTTGGTATCAACCCAGGACAGCAATCAAGGCCTAGGTCTTGGCAGATTTTGTCGCAGAATTTACTCCCACCCAGAGTACCGAACCGGGGAATCTGAGTTCGGCACAAGTGCCATGCGCCACCGAACAAGGAAAACCCAGTGCTTCGGAAGCATGGAAACTCTTTATTGGAAACATCTGGCAACTCTACGTCGATGGTTCGTCCAATAACCGAGGCTCGGGGGCAGGAGTAGTTCTTATTTCTCCAGAAGGATTTATTTGGGAACAGGCTCTCAGGCTAGGCTGGAAGGCTTCAAACAATGAGGCCGAGTACGAAGCGTTATTGGTTGGCTTGCGTAGCACCGAACACTTCAGTGCAGAACAACTTCTTGTTTTCAGCGACTCACAACTAGTGGTAAACCATCTTTTTGGGGTCTATGAAACTCGAGATGAAAGAATAGCTATGTACACAGGCAAGGCTAGAGACCTACTTAGAAAATTTCAATCCATACGAGTAAAACGAATCAGTCGGGACAAAAATAGCCACGCAGATGCTCTGGCATGCCTCGGCTCATCAGTGGATACACAGGATGCCAGGAGAGTTTGGGTTGAGTTTGTACCAGAACCAAGTATTGCATCTCTAGTCCTCTGCAACAACTTAGAGCCGAGCTGGATGGATCCAATATTGGTCTTTCTGAAATCTGGTAAACTCCCCGAAGACAGAAGGGAAGCCAACAAGATCAGGCATAAATCAGCTCGATTCTGGATCTCACCGACTGGGAAGCTATACAGATGTTCCTACCATGGCCCCTACCTCCTATGTGTGCATCCAAATCCTGTCGAGAATGTTCTTTACGAAATTCATGATGGGATTTGTGGATGCCACGTTGGCGGAAGGTCACTGGTGCACCGAGCCCTCAGTCACGGGTACTGGTGGCCACGGATGCAACAAGATGCACAGTAGTACGTACAGAGGTGCGACAAATGTCAGAGGTTTGCTCCACTCATTCATCAGCCAGCCAAAACTCTCACTCCACTCACCAGCCCGTGGCCCTTTGTGCAATGGGGCCTGGATATTGTTGGACCATTAGCGCGAGGCACTGGGAACAGGCGATTCTTCATTGCTGCAACCGACTATTTTACCAAGTGGGTTAAAGTTGAGGCACTGGCAAGCATCAAAGAGGCCGACACAAAGCGGTTTGTTTTGAGAAATGTGGTAGTGCGTTTCGGCATTCCGGGTACTGATTGCGGACAACGGAACACAGTTCGATGGTAAGATCTTTAGAAAATTTTGTGCCGACCTCAGAATTAAGTATAGGAACTCTTCTCCAGGGTACCCGCAGAGCAATGGTCAGGCAGAAGCGTCGAACAAAACCATCAACGGAGTGAAAAAGCGGCTTGAACATGCCAAAGGCAAATGGGTTGAAGAGTTACCTCACGTATTATGGGCCTACCGAACTACAGCACGACGCCCCACAGAAGAAACACCTTACTCTTTAACCTATGGAATAGAGGCTATCATCCCACTCGAAGTAGGTCTCCCAACCCTTCGGTCTGAATTATTTGAAAGCTCCAGTAATGAGGAAGCTATCGCGCAAGCACTGGATATGGTAGAGGGCCGAAGAGAGGCAGCGCTGATCAGACTTGAAGCATATCAGCAGCAGCTCATCAGAAGTTTCAACCAAAAAGTTTTCCCAAGGCAATTTATACCAGGAGAATTGGTTTTGAGGAAAGTCATGGATCACAAACGGGTGCCTAGTGAGGGCAAACTTGGGCCGAATTGGGAAGGTCCCTATAAAATCACAGCCGTTGTTGGAAATGGAGCTTACTACCTAGAGGATTTGAATGGCAAAGCGATACCTCAGCCTTGGAACGTAGCAAACCTCAAGAAATACTATCAATAGAATCATCCCCTAACTTCTCTATCAGGATGTAAAGGCACTTATTTGTTGACCAATGCAAATGTTTTCCCACTCCTCTCAGATTTATCCAATTCTTGTAATTAGCTTTGATGTTTATCAAATGGAATTAGCTTTGGTTCTTACCAAACGGAATCAGCTTTGGTTCTTACCAAACGGAATTAGCTTTGGTCTTTACCAAACGGAATTAGCTTTGATGTTTGTCAAACAGCATTAACTTTGGTTTTAACCCAAATGGCTCAGTTTCAGAACGACTGAACAGAATTTAAATTTGGTTAGCACTCAAACATGCTAAGTGGTATAGCTTGGTGGAAAAATGTTTGGCAACTAAATTGGAATTTAGCCAAGTGGAATTGCTTGGTGGAAACCGCACTAATGTATCTTAAGTAAAATATCTCTTAGCCAAGTGGAATTGCTTGGTGGAAACTACACTGACATATCTTAAGCACACATCTTTGCACCTACAGAACTTCTTAAGTATCAGCACATCAACACTTCAGTATTGATTCAAACTAGCAGAGTTGGAACAAACTCAACTGAGCTACGTCAAGAGCAAACTTCTAGCATCAGCCTTACTCAGCTACAGCTGGGGGCAAACAATTATTTTTTTTAAAACCTACCTGGACCTGAGTAAGACATCCCTCTTTGCATTTCTCTCATTCAAATGCACTTGTACTATCAAAGTTGAAACAGACTCAAGCAGTTCTATACAAGGGACAACTCTTCAGTATCGATCTTACTTAGCTCCAGGTGGGGGAAAACAATTGTTTTCTTTCGAAACCAACCTGGACCTAAGTAAGACCCACTTACGAACTCAAAGCACAGCCATACCACATATCCGTTAGCCACGCCGATCACTAGTTCGGCCCCGAGGTCGCAACAGTGCTCGGCCGGGAGCAAATAGTGCAGTGCCACACTGAGCATCAGTCCGGCCCCAAGGCCCCAACAGCGCTCGGCCGGGGGCAAGCAGTATAGAAATCAGACAGAGCATCTATTTAAAGACAATATAGAATCAGACCGAGCACTTATTCGGCCCAAAGGTCCCAACAGAGCTCGGCCGGGGGCAAGCAGTATAGAATACATTCAGACATAAAAGCCAAACAGCATCAAATTGCAAGTTCAAAGAGAAAATTATATCATCCAGCAAAGGGCACAGAAGGCCTCACAACCAGCAGCAAAAAAAAAAAAAAAAAAAAGAAAAGGAAAAATTGTCTTGATAAAGTGAAGAAAGAAAGCCCGTCATGGAAACTGAGCCACAATACACCAAAACAGAAAAGTAAAAAGTTCAAATCCTTGCAACATCAATTTTCATCAACAGTGGGCAACTCAGGAGCAGCATCAGCAATTTTGTCCAGGCCATCTGCGGGAGGAAAAGTAGAGGAAGCTCCAACTTCCTGAGAAGTAGGAGCCACCTCAACCACATCTCTCGTGGCTTCGGTCTCTAGGGTTTCAACCCCTTCAACGTCCACCGTTTCAGCGGCAACATTCACGCTCTGGGTCTTGTTTGCAGAATCATCTTTTGGGGAAACATCGTCTGGCAGAACAGCAGGGGTAGAAATAGTCTTCAAACCCAAGGATCTCGAAGGAACAGGGATATCATGATACAAGGAAGAGCCTTCAGGAACCA